CTGGAACACTCCGTTCCTTTGCAGAGAATGAGGGCGATGGAGGAGAGAACTTGCCTAGGGACCTGCTTGCCTACTCCAGCGCCGGGGAAGGCCGCGAGCAGGGAGCAGCAGCAGCTAGCCGACGGCCATCTTCATGGGCGCGGCGGCGGCGGTGAGTACCTGGACGGCTTCCGTGCTTATTTCTGCTGCGCCGTCGGATGCCCAACGAACGTCATCGGGCGTAGGTACGTCCCTCTGCTGTAGTTCGGAATATGTTAGGATCTCGTTCCATCCGAAACAGCCCCTCCCGTCTTATCCCAAACACAACGCTCTGCTCCCCCATCCGAAGCAGAGCAGCGAGCATGTCGCCGGTCACCGCGCTCCTGGCGGGCACGGCCGTGCCGCCGTCCCCGTACCCGTCCCCGGCGCCGGCGAGGCAGCACGCCCGCCACTACTCCGTCGGCTTCCCCTCGCTCCCCGGCGGCGGCGGGCGCGCGGCGCTGTCGGTGGAGTGCTCGTCGCGGCCGCAGAAGAAGGGGACCAAGCACCACATGAAGACGCGGCCCAAGAAGACGCAGCCGTGGGACATCAAGCGCCGCCCCACGCAGTACCCGCCGCTGCCGCCGCTCCCGCCCGACTGGACGCTCGTCGCGTCCGGCGCCACGGTCGACGTGGAGGAGGCCACCGCCGTGACCCCCGTCCTCGAGGTGGCCGCGGCCGTCGCCGCACCCGCCGCCGCCGACTGAGGCCGCCGCGGCATGTCGCTGAAGTTGTTCCCTGCTTGAGCTCTCCGCGTATGCTGTTTCCTTTTTGAGATTTATTATAATGGCTGCCCTGATTTTGTGATTATAAATTTGGAATCTTTTATTTATGCTAGTCCAATGGCTGTCACTGCGTCCAATTCAGTCCGTTGCTTGATGATTTCTTGGTTGCTTGCTGTGTGCAACGCTGATTCAGCTAGTCCATGCCGCCAGTGGCAGTGTAGACTGTAGAGTTGTTAGCTACTCCATGTCCTTAGGCTGCTCGCTGGTTCAATTACATATATGGCGTTGCTCTGTTAAGTTATGATGGGGAATGGATTGCCCAAATATAAATGTCAGAAAAAAGAACAAACAGCCCAACAGGACATCTCCCAGGAGTTACTGAACTTGTATCTTGTTTGACCTTAGGAGCTCGCTCTGTTTGATTTGGGCAGTTGCCTGACATTGGGGGAGATTCAGTAAACAGTAAACTCATCTTTGATGGCAATGGCACCAACAGCCATTGAACACAAGCACTTAGACTGTCTCCAATGAGGAGCCGCAAACGCAAAATCGGTCACGTACAGTACTTTTGCCTATCAAAATCACGCTCCAACGGAAGACCCATTCAGGGAACCCATTTTGCGTCCGACGCCGGCAAGAACGCAAAAAAGCGTCGTCGAGGAGAGACGACGCAAAAATCTTCTTGCCGTGGTGGTGGTGGGCGCCGCCAGCCCAGGGGGGGCTTCGCCGCCTGGGCCGCCGCCGCCAGAAGGCGCTCGCCTTAGCGCCGCCCGGCCGAGAAGAAGGGCTCCAGCGCTGTCTTGGGGCGGGCACCATGGACGCCTTGGTCATGGTCATGACACCGCCGAGGCTCTGCCAAGACGGAGCGCCGGCCGGGCGCAGCACCATGGGCCGGGAGAGAGAGAGAGAGAGAGAGAGAGAGAGAGAGAGAGAGAGAGAGAGAGGGAGAGAGAGAGAGACGCACAGACGGAGGAGGAGAGGGGCGAGGAGGGGGCTAGCCGCCGCCGAGGCCCAGCCGGGCGCGCCGCCATGCTGGATGGGGACGCAGAGGCGGGAGGAGAGAGCGAGGCGCTGCATGCCGTCGACCACGGCGGCCCAGTCGGCGGGGGAGGCTTGGTCGCGGGGCGTGCTTCCCCCGGCGTTGAGGACGCTGCCGGCCACGAGGTCCGTGAGGGCGCGCGGCGTCATGCGGCCCAGCAGGAGGGGCGCGGCGGTGGATTTGGGTCTCTCCGTTGGAGAGGAGATATTTGGGTCCGTCGTTTTTTTTACTGTGGACGCCCTATAATACCGAATGGGTGTTGTATCTGGGTCTCTTCGTTGGAGTTAGCCTTAGGAAGTAGTTTGGTTCCCATAGGACTCAGGGTAGTTTCTGACCTAATTGTTTGTATTGTTGCCTTAATTCAAGTGCTGTGGAAAGGACTTCCCCACGGAGGCAAATTCTGAAGGACCCGGCCCTTCCTTCATCCTGTAGGACCTCGCTCTCTATGGAGAAGATGACCACACGACATGGCCTTCCCGTGATGTGGCGAGTTTCTGGCAAGGGTTAGACAATGACCATCAGCAGCGTGCGAAGTCTTGAGACGGTGGTGGTTTTCTCCATCAGCCTCTCCTCACCGGCGGCGACGGCAATGACAGTACCTGGCCCGGGCGAACTTGTGGCATCGATGGTTCCTTCGTTACGCAGCTAGGGCATGGAATACTGGATTTATCATACAGAAGGGCAATAGAAACGGCGGCCTTGAGGATGATTGATGATATATATTAAGAAACTTGGCAAGGTTGACTTGTCAAGTATTTTTCTGATGGCTTTCTTTCATTTTTGTTTCAAGTGTGAACGCTGTCGCCGCCGGCTCCATCCCCATCCATCTCCGGTGGGTTTCTTCCTCTTTTAGCTTCCTTGCTCGTCGTGATTCTCTGCTTTGCCCACTCCATCCCCCGTCTTCTCATCGCTGCTGTGCTTCATTGGCCGGTGCGTTCTGGGTGCCACCAAGCGAGGACGTTTCCGAGTACGTGGCCTCCATGAAGCGCAGCATCGTTAGCCAAGCCATGCCAACAGCTAGCACAGGTCACCAGCCGCTTTCTTTCTAGAGAAGGAGAGAGGAGGCTATGAACGACAGACTGCTGATTTCTTGTAGGCTGTTGCGATGGCCAGTTTATTAGAGTTAGCCGTTACACCGTTTTGCGACCAGACCAGGGTTGTCTTATTATTCACAAGTGTAGGGATTGGTTGCATGCATGTGTACTTCATGAATCTCGCACGTTTATTCATTTGATTGATTTGAAGGAAATTTTGTATTCTTACGTCTATATATAGTTCTGTATACATTGGTCCTCTACTCCTCCACGAGTTCTTCACCTCGACCTTACTTCTGACTGTCTCAGTACGTATATACGCCCAACGTCTGCTGCTCACGTACACAGCAACGGCATACATATTGAACTGGCTTGCTCACCTGTTGGCTATTGCCCCATCTGGACTTCAGCTCGACGCTGAGCGGCTGCTCCTACAGTCCTACGCCGTGAGGTTGCCACCGCGCACGCGTCACGTACGCTGGGGCGGAGGCCACCTGAATATCACTGTCGCTGGCAGCTCTCCCCCCTGCGCTTCAGACCTACACACGATGCAGGGTACTGTATTGTTCACCATTGATAACCAAGGAAGTACGTGGTGCGTGCATGCGTACCCGGCGGGTCGGTCTAGGTTGCTGCACCCGCCGGCGCCGTTGAGGGCGCCAGGGCACGCCGTGTCGCCGCGAAGTACTTCCACGAGCTATTCGTCAACCTATATTGCTGTCCCCTGGTCTGCCAAGGCCAGTAAAACATTATTTCTCGGAAGAAAAAAGTATCCAGTAGTAGTGACATGGTATCACAACACATCGTCATGCGGTGCAACGCGGGTAGGACGTATTATGCGACCAAACCGGTGGATCGGGCATGTCTATCCTCATCGCGATATGCATTTCCCATCTCAGTATTCCTAAAATCCCAGCCGCAAGCAACGTTAAGATTACACCAATCACCATAGTCCATAGGCATTCCGTACCATAAACAAAATATGCCAATATTTAAAAATAGCCTTTGTGCAACGGCGACCGTAATTCCATTACGTATGTTGACAGATAACACTTCCAGAAAAGCTCTTGTACATGCGCACATAGGAGTACTTTCTTCTAATTCTATAAGATAGCAGCAAATTTATTTGAAATTGGTCGTCACCATCCTTAAAAGAGTTAGGCACAAGCCGCACTACCAGAGTTTGTGAACATTACACACAATCCCTCGCCTCACAAACAGAAGCATTTATCTTTGGCAATAAGCGGTGGGGAGTCATGGACTGAGAAACATATCAGCTCAATATACTTCACGGCAGAAACTTTCATGCTTCAGCAGCCTTCTCTGAAGGACTGTCTTCACCCTTTTGCCCCATCTTCGCCTTCTTGGCTTCGTAGTCTTTCACGGCAGCTTTAATCGCATCCTCGGCAAGCATGCTGCAATGGAGCTTTACTGGTGGAAGGGACAAGTGCTTCGCAATCTCACTGGAAAACAGAGTAACAAACTCAGTTACAGTGGTGTTTGCTAAGGGATTCTGACACTGCCCAGAAAAATCTCAACAAACAAGCCCTCACAGCTGCGAGGGTGCGAAAGTAAATGAAGGAATTCATCTTTTTCTAAAGAAAGAAGAGAATAAGAGCATAAGTCATATCCTCTAATGGAATAAGCACATGTACCATTTCTGATTACTGAAAGTCAAACAACATCAGAGGAGCAATAATGTCGCTGAATAGGAACTGTACAAACTAACACATCAGATAATCTGCCAGCCACTCCCAGGAACAAGGGAGAAAATTAAAATGATTACTCCTGACAGCTTAAGAAAGATCATTTCATTGCCACTCAAAGAACCCATCAAAACGGAATGTGACATCATTAAGAAATCCTAATCATGCTTAACCGGGTACTTGGTTATATAATAAAAAATAAAATCAAAGTATCGAATGGTCATCAAAGAGAGATAAGCATATAACAACCAGTGAAGTCTTCTCAGATACAAACTCCCAACATTCTCACACTGGTATTCACATATAAAGAACAGAACGATGTTGCGAACCCAAAAGCAGCATGTGTGTTGAGTTTGTTAAAGATGCAAACATATACAACAATTCATATTTACAAAATACAATATTAGCATGTTCAGATGATTAATAAAGTGGATAATATTAAGCAAGCCGAAAATATTGAAGATAATAGATAACTTACGTGTTCTTGATTGTCAAAACTTCATCCATTGGTTTTCCCTTGACCCATTCAGTAGCTGCAAGGAGAAAGATAATACAATCAACGTTACACATGCAGCAGCTTAAAGAAACAACACTTAGAGCATTTTGTTTAATTAGGGATGAAGATCTTCGCAGGTTCGTTATCTAGGATCGATGTTACAAAGAGATGGAGACATTGATGCCGACGTTAGCCATAGAATCAAAGCAGGGTGGATCAAGTGGCGACAAGTTTCTGGCGTTCTTTGTGACAAGAGGGTACCACAAAAGCTAAAAGGCAAGTTTTATAGAACGGCGATTAGACCGGCTATGTTGTATGGAGCAGAATGTTGGCCGACAAAGATTCGTCATGTTCAACAATTGAGTGTTGCAGAAATGCGTATGTTGCGATGGATTTGTGGTCACACAAGAATGGACCGAGTTAGGAACGATGATATACGTGACCGCCTAGGGGTAGCACCAATTGAAGAAAAGCTTGTCCAACATCGGTTGAGATGGTTTGGCCATATCCAAAGGAGACCATTAGAGGCACCAATGCATTGTGGAGTCCTAAGCCAAGCTAATAATGTGAGAAGAGGTAGAGGTAGACCGAAATTGACATGGGGGGAGGCAATAAAAAGATATTTGAAAGTTTAGGATATACCTAGAGATCTATGTTTCAATAGGAGTGCTTGGAAAGCAGCTATTGAAGTGCCTGAACCGTGACTAGGGGCTCTTGGTGGGTTTCAACTCTAGCCTACCCCAACTTGTTTGGGATTGACAGGCTTTGTTGTTGTTGTTGTTGTTGTTGAAGATCTTCGCGGAATCAGGAATGCTTCCGGCTTGTAAGATACAAGCAACCAGCGGGTCCACTCTTGTATGCAAGACAAGATGATACTTAGCACTCATTGACTATAATAGTAATAAAATGATCTATAACACAGACAAATTTAGGAGAAAAAACTCACATTCCACATTCAAGATTATATTCCAGTCATTTAGGACTAAATAAATTGAAGTTCCAACTGGCAACTTGGTTCCCATGGTTGTTGGCTTACAAGTCACACAGTACAACAGAATGTCTCCATTTTGTGATTCATAGCATTTTCATGCATAACAATGCAGGAGGTTAGGTATTATATGCATCGTATTATCAAACCAATGACTTGAAAGTTGCCTCAATTATTCTGTTGACTATTTCATTATTTGCAGGAGTATCTTCCTAGACATTTCCATAAGTACTCTACCATTACTAAGTTAGTAAGAACATCAAAACTAAGGCACAATGTCCATTATCTCTGAACCAATTTGGTTCAGCTACTAAAAACTATAAAAAAAAAACTACAAGCATCTGAATCTACTGATAGAAATAAGAACTTTTCTAACTACAAGGTTCTCATTTTTATTAATATTAACGTGCTGTTTGGTAGCATCTGAGGTAACGGAAACGAGAATGAAACAAAGCTATTTTCGTTACCAGCGGGAGACAAATTTGAACTACTTCCATTTACTTTTGCGTTACTATGCAAGGAACCAAACAGCACGTAAGATGTAACTTCTAGACCTTTCAGGGTCATTCTCCTTAATAAAAAAATAATAATAATAAACAGCATAAGCTGGACAATTACTGTTAGAGGCGTGTGATCACCGCATGAGACGCGGGCAGGAGAAGACCAGGCATGCGGTGGAGCACCCTCACCACGGGAGACTGGGCAAAGGAAGACCGTGCATGGCCTAAATTTAGGAGAAGACCAGTCATGCGGTGGAGCGCCCTCACTGCACGAGACTGGGCAAGGGAAGACCGTGCATTGCCTAAATTTAGAAGACCAGGCATGCGGTAGAGCGTCCTCACTGCACGAGACTGGGCAAGGGAAGACCATGCATGCGGCTGCAAGAATTGGAAGGAAAAGCCTTCTCTCTTGCTTGGCCGTGGGCAAGGCCCAGTTACAATCCAGAAAAACAAGGAAGAACCAGCATCACAACACAAAACTCAGCACACACATTTTATTTAACTCTAAAACAGGAAAACTGATATAAAAAAATTAGTTCAGGATTAACCATACGATAAGTATGAAACTGCAACTCATATGAAACTTCTTTGTCATACAACTTATCTGTAGCTAAAATGGTCGCATCACACATGTCTAACATTCAACACAACTTGCCAATTAGGTCCAAAGCACCAAAAATAAAATGGCCGCATCACATGTCTAAAATTCAACAAAACTAGCCAATTAGGTCCAAAGCACCAAAAATAGGCAAATTGAAACGAGGGTGTCAATGATTCTACAGCAATACAGATGAAAATTAGCAGTACAGTTGAAAATTAGCAATACAGATGAAAATTAGCAATACTGATCACTTATAGCAAATTGTACCTCACAGTCCCCGATAAAAAATGGCACATATAAGAAACACAATACTAAGCTAGCAGCAATTCATCTTTCTCTGCATATGACCTTCACCATCGGAATAAAGGCATCGGGATAACTAGATAACGAATTAGTGATGTTACTCAATTCACAAGCTCCAATTCATCTTTCTCTGCAAAAGACCTCCACAATCGAAATAAAGGCATCGGGATAACTAGATAACCAATTAGTGATGTTACTCAATTCACAGGACAAAAAAAGGAAGATTGAGCCTACACTACAAGCTAGGGCTGAGGGGAAATCGACGGGAACTCCAGACGTGGCGCTAGGGCTGAGGGCCTCACCTACGGACGAGGACGCGATGGCGGAGCCGCAGCCAAAGGTCTTGAAGCAGGCGTCGACGATCTTGCCGGACTCCTCGTCGACGCGGATCTGCATCTTCATGACGTCCCCGCAGGCCGGCGCGCCGACCAGCCCAGTGCCGACGTTGGGGTCCTCCTTGTCGAAGGAACCGACGTTCCGCGGGTTGTTGTAGTGGTCCACCACCCGCTCGTGGTACGCCCTCACCCTCGCCGCCGCGGCGGCCGGGCCCGCCTGGCCGGCGGCGCCGGTGCCCAGGCCGAGCCGCCGGAGCCCCGGGGCGAGGAGCCGCCTGCCTCCTGCGCGCAGCATCTCCCACAAACCTGGAGTCGCCTCCTGATTCTTCTGATCTTTTCGGCTTCCGGATTGGAGCGAGTTCTTTTCTTTTTCTCTGCGTTGGCTCAGAATTGTGGCCGTGGTTCTATTTGTTCTGAGGCGGTGAGGAGGAAACGGGGATCCTGTGCGGCAGGGCTATCGCAGGGTATGGCCGAGATGTGTACGTGGCGCGGTATTTGTGGACCGAATCGTTGTGCGGTGTGCTGCGGCCTGCAGGAGGTCCGGGGTCGCCGCTGAGGAGATTGGAGACGCGACTAGATGCTCGGAGCAGGGAAAGGGGATAAGCGTCGGAATAGCTGGGCTTCCTTTGTCAAATTTGGGCCTCGTCAGCAGTTGCGTCACGGCCCACAGCATCTTTCGAGGGGCTGGCTCTTTTCTTCTCCCGTGGACCAATGGGCAAAGAAGAGGAATTCATCAATCAAAACAACAGCAAGCGAAACTCAACTTGTCAAACCAGCGTTTTCTGCTTATAAAATGAGGAAGAAAAGCATGAAATTTGCTCCGTTACTCGTTTTAATTAGCACGAATATTAAAGCGTCTATAATTAATAAAGCTGTTTTTATTATTTTATATATTTAACAAATATTACAAATCTCGGTCCTGCCCGGCCAGCGAAGCCAAAGAAAAAGTGAATCAAATACACCTAGCTTTATTTTCATTGATCCGAATGTTCATACAAATTACATTTTTCCTGTATGTATATAGATTGACAGAAAAATTATTGCCGTCCGTCTCCTCGATGTAGTAATAAATATGCATAATAATGATCTACACAACTATCCACCGGTCGGAAATTCGGAACTATTTGAGACTGTAACTTCTCTTATTGACAAGTTGGGAAAAAAGATTCATTCATCAGTAAAATAATTGACCAGTTCATCAGAGAGCTGAAACTCAAGGTTTGCGTGGGAACTTGGAGAAGTCTGGGCGTCGTCTCTCCAAGTACGCATTCTTCCCTTCCTTTGCCTCCTCTATGCCATAGAATATGAGTGTGGCGTTCCCACCAAGCTCCTACAGCAGAAGCATCATCAGAAATGCAACACACAGACAGAAGTTAACAGCAGCAGTTTCAAGGGAAGGTTAACAACATCTGGCAAGTTATACCTGAAGACCTGCATGACCGTCGTCTGCCGCGTTGAGTGCAGATTTCAGCACGCGAATAGCCATGGGGCTGTTCCTTAAGATCTGTCGGCACCATTTGACAGTTTCTTGCTCCAATTCAGCAAGCTGCATGTACAGAAGCGTGTGCGTGTCAGTGGATCAGCATGACTAAGGTGGTGTTGGGATCCAGTGACTAAAATTTTGGAGGTGTGTTAGGAGGATGTTGCTGGGGTGTTCGGATACTAATAAAAAAAATAAATTACATAATCCGTCAGTACTCCACGAGACGATTTTTTTTAAGCCCAATTAATCTGTCATTAGCACATGCTACTGTAGCACCACGTTGTCAAATCATGGACTAATTAGGTTTAAAAGATTCGTCTCGCAAATTAGTCGCAAACTATGCAATTAGTTTCGTAATTAGTCTATATTTAATACTCCATGCATGTGTCCAAACATTTGATGGGACAGCGACTAAAATTTAGGAGGTGTAACCAAACACCACATAAAATAGTTTGGTTTTAGTAATCAACACTGGTTTTCAGCACTTACTGGTACTACAGTGTTCACAAGTCCCATCTTATCAGCTTCGTCAGCTGTGTAGAACCGTGACAGAAACCACATTTCACGGGCTCTCTTCGGTCCAACCTGTTCATGAGAAATAATTGGAGCAAGAATAGCATGCCGCTTACTGTGTTCCATGAATATGTTGATAATATGATAATGGAATGAGTGTGTGACAGGAGTAATGCAACATTTTCTACTATCTCACTAGATTGATATGTGTTCTAGGACACTGTGACAAACATCGGCGGCAAGGAATCAATAGATTAGTATGAACTCACCAACCGGGACATTATTGAAGATCCATAACCAGCATCAAAGCTTCCAACCTGTGATAGGAGTTATAAATTGGGATGTTGAAATACACTGCATGTTTACAGTTTCGGCAAAAAGAAGAAACAGGATTACTTAATGAACACAGAAAACGTAATTCCACTATGAACTGATGATGTAAAATTTGATGTTTCACTTTATTGGTATTATCTGCATCCTGGTACCAAGATACCAAATAGACCAGAAAAATCACCTTGGGCCCTGTCTGTCCAAATATCGCATTGTCTGCTGCAATTGTTAAATCACACACCATATGCAAAACATGCCCACCGCCAACAGCGTAACCAGCAATCTGATAGCAATTAGTAAACGACACAAAATCAATCCATAGGACGACGAAAGGAGGTAGCAAAAAGGCAAAGGACAGTTATGAACTAATGATCATACCATAGCAATGACAGGCTTTGGAAGACGTCGAATTTGCACCTGAAGAAATTGTCTGATGTTCTCATTATTAATGATAACTACTACTGTCTTACAAACAAAAAAGATTAATCATTGTTCACACTTAATAAGACTAGAAGTGCCAACATGACAAGCAAAACCTGCTCCTGCAAATTTACTAAGTGGTACGTCAACATATACTCATCAGTAAGCAGGAATGCTAGTCAAACTATACGCCATCATCATATTCTTAGCTGAAGCTGAACGATGTACTCCTAAGTCAGTTCAAACCTCACTAAACAAATCATCTAAAAGTGGACAGCACGCCTGCATTGCGTGTAAAGAAATGAGAGATAGAAGACGTGCATTTCTTTTCTTGAAAAAAGAATTCCGTATCAAAAGAACAATCACAATGATCCTCATACAGAATAAAAATCTGCATTGCGTGTAACGAAATGAGAGATAGAAGACGTGCATTTCTTTTCTTGAAAAAAGAATTCCGTATCAAAAGAACAATCACAACGATCCTCATACAGAATAAAAATCTGCATTGCGTGTAACGAAATGAGAGATAGAAGACGTGCATTTCTTTTCTTGAAAAAAGAATTCCGTATCAAAAGAACAATCACAACGATCCTCATACAAAATAAAAATCTGTGCCCCAGAACTCATCAGGTTTACTCATACATTAAAGTGTCGAAGAAGTTCGTCTGACCTGGAGATCTAAAACGTTGAGGCGGCCAAAGCTATCGAAGTCAACATATCCATCAGAATCTCTTAACGCCTGGTCACCGCCGCTACAGAACGCCTTGGTTCCCTGGTCAACCAAAACATCGAAATAAGCTTACCCACCACAGCTAACCCGACTCCATAGACACCCAAACATGCTTTTTTTCTTCTCTTTCTCCTCTAAAAGCATCCGTACCTTTCCTGTAAAAATGATGACTCCAATCGAACTATCATCTCTAGCATCGTTGAATGCGCGCATAAGCTCCTTCACGGTCAGCGGACGGAACGCGTTCCTTCTATCAGGCCGGTTTATGGTGATCTGAAGCAGCAATACGCATTGAAAAAAAACGAGATGTAAGAACAATGCACGCGCACGTGTAATCCATAAGCAGCAACGAGCCTTAGTTCTAAATGTTATTGGAAATCCAGCAGCCGCAGCCGCAGCCGCACTTTTGCAAGGAATCCAAAGCTTGACAAGGATCGAGGGAAGAAAGAAGCCTCACCTTGGCGATGCCCTCTCCGACGGCCTTCTCGTAGATGATGTCGATGAACTCCTTCCCTGACTCGTCTGTGGCGGCGCGCCACTCCGGTGGCTCCGACGGCACGTCGCCGTGCACGCGCCGGTAGCTGTCCCCCGCCGGTGAGGACGACGACGAGGACGACGCTGCCGTGGGAGAAAGAGCGAGGGGAGGCACGGTGGCGTGCGTAACCGGGAACGACGGAACGAGGTGGGCGGCGACGCGGGCCAGCCTCCTCTCCGCAGCGTCCATGGCGAGAGCTAGCGCGAGTGGGCGTGGCGCGGCAACGCGTGGCTTGTGGCGGTTCCGTTTGGGGGCGCTCTCGCTCTCTCAGTTTGGTCTTTGGATGAGGTTTTGTTTAGGAAGAGGGCCCCGCCAGGCGAGAGCAGATAAGACTTGCGCGTTGATGGGCCGGCCTACAGGTGTGCCAGTACCATGGGCCACACAGATATTGTAACGTGGTCTACGACCGTTCCTGGCCTCGCCAAATTCTAAAAAAAAAAACTTAGGGGAAAAAGTCCACATTATCTTCTCAATTTTCGCGAAAGTCCATTTTTCCTCCCTGAACCCCAAAACCGGGCAAAACACCTCCCTCAACTTTTAAAACCGTCCATCTTACCTCCCTGGCCCTGTTATAAGCAGTTTTGAAGGCGGTTTTATCTTTGTCTTTTTTATTTATTTTGGCTGAATCTTTGAAAAATCATAGTAAATCACAGAAAAATTATAAAATAGAAAATCTAATTTTGTTGGACTCCACATGAGTAGATCTACATAGTAAACATATAATATGGTATATTTTAGTACAAAGTTTTTGCTATGGCTTTAGATCTACGATTTTCTGTAATTATTTGAAATAATTTAAAGCTACAGTTTCTATGGTCCAATTGTGATAAAATTTTTATAGTGGGTTAATTATTGTATGATTGAATTGTAGTAAAAATTTCATACTCATTGAATGATATATAGCTTAGTTATAGGTTTATTTATATTTAACAAGCATAAACCTAGATAAAATCTATAACTAAGTTATACATAATCCAATGAATATGAAATTTTTACTACAGTTTAAGCATATAATAGCCCATCATAAAAATTAACTACAATTGGACCATAGAAACTGCAGCTATGAATTATTCTAATTAATTACAGAAAAGCATAGATCTAAATCCGCAGCAAAAACTTTATACTAAAGCATACCATATTATATATTCACTGTGTAGATCTACTCATGTGGAGTCCAACAAAATTGGATTTTTTATTTTATAATTTTTCTATGATTTACTATAATTTTTCAAAGATTCAGCTAAAATAAATAAAAAAAGAAAAAGACAAAACCGCCTTCAAAAC